CGGGACGTCGCCCGAGTGCGTCCGTTTATCAAATTGTATCTTCAGCTCGAGTGGGTCGGCAATGTTATCGCACAGATATTCGCGGGATAATATTCCGATTGTCAACGAGTTACAAGTGCGCCCGTAAGAATGTGTACGTGACGTTTTTGAGTCGCATTGCGACTAATTTTACCTTACATCAATGGTGCAACGACCGGGTGTGTAGAGCGTGCATTGCACGCAGGCTCCGGGTCACCGTACCATATTATGGGGCCTCAAAAGGTCAAATGCTCAAAAACGTACAACGATAAGAGACCTCAAGATTTTGATAAGCCCGCGGACCTCGGGTAGTTTGGTTATGGCACTGATCTTAAACCGATGTTGCCAAACAAGAAGATCAGTCAACACGGCCGATACAGGAAGGAAATGTTAATTATAACCTAACGGTTTTAAAACGATATTTCATAAATCGTTAAAAGATGCCGTGCAACGGTTGTACCGCGTAAAAATACGAGTGGAAAGACAATTTTTCACAGTCATTTAAATCATGACCGTGAAATTGATTCCAGAGGCAATATGGTAAGACAAGTAATTAAGAATTCCATGAAAAATAAAACTGTGAGAAGAAACTAGTGAACGTCCAATAGAATTAATTGGACTACCCTCCGAACACGTGAGCAGAATCGAACGGGAGAAGTGAACGAACCGTTTTAATTAAAATGTATAACTTTTAAATTAAAAAAAACAACAACAACAATATGAAAACTTGATAAACAGTCGAAAATTATAATAATTTTTCAAGAAAACGGAAAAAAAACAATTTTCAGGATGAAATACAGTTCACCTCCTCGCGGTAATATAACTGATATAACTGGTGTACACGTGCTGTGTAATGAAACAGTTACTTTTTGATCCGGGATGCATGTAGACTATAGTTTTTCGGCGGACGCGCTTAGGACGACAATACACAGATATAATTTTGGGACACGTTCATAAGTTCCACGCTGATAACGGGACCAAAGCCTTGAACAACGGCGGTCCGAGCGACAGGCTGAGTTGACCCATAATCGCATGGCAGGGAAGGTGCCCGCGCTAATACGTTAACAATACGTCCACAGATATTGTGCACGTGATGATTGTCCGTTGACTACGTGTTGTCTCGCCTATCCCGTACAAAATATATTACACTCTGTATTCAAGGAGCACGCAGCAGCCGTAACAGGGCCGCAGGCGGCATGGGTGTCGGAGCGTGTTTCGAGGCAGGAACAACCGAAGGGGCGCCAAAACGGATTAACCGACAGACGAACACCATTCTGTATTGCAAACGTTTGTGTGTCCGCCGCGTTAAATAATGCGTTTTGCCGCGTCTGCAAGCACTACGACGACGATGTGTCGTTTTCATCCCTTTCGTTTTAATCAAACCTCTTCCTTCCCCCCCAATCTATCTTTCTCCCTCTCCCACTTTCTTTCTCTCTTTCTCATTCTCCCTCCCTCCCTCTTCCTCTCTCTCTCACCCCTTCTCTATCTCTCTCTCGTTCTGTTTACCTCCCCCTCTCTTTCTCTCTCGCTCCTTCTATTTTTCTCCGAGTTCTCTTCTCCCGACCGCGTCCAGTCGGCGGCTGGGAATTTATTCGCACACGGCGCTGCAGTCATCCGCACCGTTGCCGAAACGCGTTCGCAATAACATTGATTCCTGCGCCGCGCCCCTCACGATGTACCTATTTTACATTTCTCGGTGCCCCACCCCGTCGCCGCTGCCACTGCCAACGGTGAGCGCGTCGTTTTCCGACTGACCGGCACCTCTGGACGTGCAACCGCAGACGGACCTTCGTACGTACAATGCACGCGGCAACGTTGGTCCGCGGACGCGTAACGCGCAAGGAACGCTACTGCATACGCGCCATGTGCCTTACCGCACTGGTCATCCGAGACAATCCGCAGCGCATAATATCGTCGTAATTGCAGCGGATACGTGTTTTCGTAAGCTTCGACCAAACCCAACGAAAGGCGATTTTTTATTTTTAATTTTTTTTGTTAAGTTCACCTATCGCTCGAATACAAGTACTGTTCGTCCTGTTGTACTTGGTCCCGTATCGGAGCGCCGTGAACAACTTAAAAATCAAAAAATAAATAAATAAACGCTAATTATTAATATTAATAAAAAAAATCCCTATAGCGAGTACGTACAATACGTGATGACATTATTAATGCCCACTGGACTGCTCGGTATTATTTGTCGTCGTCACTTATGATGACACTCATTGTCATCGATCGACCACCGAATTATTATAAAAAAATATTACGATCTCCACTACACGTTGTATTGTTCCATCCATTAAGAGGACTGTAATACGAAGGCAACGAAATCGAATTCGGAAGAAAAAAACCTCTTGACTGTTACGTTCGTGCATTTTTATACTTGAATTTCTGATTGATACGGTTTTTTGCAATATGGTGATGATCTAATCGTAAAAAGCTCGTCTTTTTAATGTACTTTTAAATATCCGCGGGCTACGTCGTTCTAGTGCTCTGTTATTACTATCACGTATTTTCTCGATTTCATGAGATTCTTAAAATTGCGGATACAGACACGCGAGAATCTTCGTAATTCAATTTTTTTTTATTTGAAAAAAAATATTACTACCGTTTTGAATATTTTTTAATATTTGCCTATATTCAAACGTTTTATAATTATTACCGTTTTTGGTCTGTTCATAATTTACTAACTATATTTGATTATTTTTTTCTTTTTCTGACCCAAACGTTTAAAATAAAACAGAAATTCAAAATTATGACGAACAAACGATACGTTATATTTTCAACTGGAAATGTGAAGAAATGTAATATTTAATATTAGCTACGTACCGCTTAGTACCAAAAACTATAATAGATTCCGAGTAAACGGCTTGATGAATTTCAATGGGACAGTATTCACCATTAATCTTACTATTATTGAAAAATATTAAGATATATTTATTACAAAATTGATATCGCTATTCCTTAGTCTTTGTAGACATTTCAAAACACAGTTTAAAAAACATAATATACAAAACTCTTTATCCGAGAGCGATTTAAAGTTCTTAAAATTGCATTACATATGTAATCTCACATTCAAGAAGAATATCTTGCTGCTATGCAATACTCTACAAATCCGTATTATTCACGTAAACAGATAAATAACAAAGTGCAAAAAATCTGAAAGAATTTTATTTACATTTATAATTGATATTATACTTGTAGTTAATTATTATTATTATTATTATTTTTTATATTATGGTTAAGGCTTCAACAACAAAGGTTATTATCCTCCATATAATACAAATTGAGGGGTTATGAGGTTGGTAGAGATACATTGTTTACAGTTATTTAATTTTTTCTGTTAAAGTCTATATTATTGAATAATTGGTAAAATACTTCAGTATTTTCTTCGTTGAGTGATTGCTTGAGAAAAGTTGAGTTGGTGGTAAAGATTCTTTGTATTTCGGCGTATTTTGGGCACTTGGTGACAATGTGATCGATTTAGAGAGTTTCCTTGCACATGTCGCAAGTTGGAGTTATTATTCATCGCTCTTTTTAGCTAGTGTTATCGAAAGTTTAATTAACGCGTACTTGCTTGCAATGTTTGTGAATTTCGTAATTTAAAATACATTACCCAAAAGCTTAGGTATATAAAGGTAGTTGATTGTAAAATAGTTTTTCTTTTCCATAGTTAAAGTATGTCAGTATTATAGAACGGCACATACCTCCCAGATACACATTATTTTTTCACGTCAATTGTTTTAGATCTTATACCTATTTATTCGCATAATATTGTAGTTAGAAAATTAAAATATTCATAAAATTTTGTTCTAACACCTTGTCTATTAAATAATGATACCGTAACAATATTGGTAAATCCACAAAGTATTTGAAGTTATATTATGTGTTACACTTCAAACACCCGACTGCAGTCACAATGATACAAGCTAAATGCATTATACGCAACTGACCTATAAACATTCTGTATAATGTGTCCAGTGGCCAGCGACGATATTAATAATAACAATAATTTATCGGAATGAAAATAACGACGCAACTTGTAGTATATATAAAATGGAAATGATAATCATGACCTTCAGAAATGTATTATTAATATACATTATTTTTACGACTAAACATAATTTACGCATTATTAACAGCTACTCTAAAGCATCGATTTTATCACTCATCAACCAGAACTACGTTTGATCGTCTATTCTTACGTCTTTAATATCATACCATGTTTGAAATGATGATGAATTATGACGTGATTGTGCGTTGTACAATAATCACAGAACTACATATCCATTGAATAGCGAATTGTCAAAATTATTTATGTGTAGTTGCGACAACGTACAACGCATAACTTTTCGTTTAAATTAAAACTGATTTTAATTTAAAATCCATCAATGCATGTTGCTACGCGGAACACGGAGACACGACGATGATTTAAAATCATATTATTATTGTCGCAATGAAACCGTGCGTCATTGTCAATGGGCCGTAAATAGATAACGAGATAAAAATGTCGTCTGCAAGGACGTGATTGGATTTTCACCTTTGCGAGATAACGATACACCACTGCGAACGTTCAATTATTATGGTCTCGCTGCTGGCATTTTTTCGAAATTGAATATAACGCAATTGTTAATGTCCAACGTAATGTATAATAATGATTGTCATTAAAATAACGAAACGAACTCGACTGAAAGTTTTATACAACGCGAGGTAAGCGCCGCGCGTGAGAACGGGTATGAAAATTACGTTTTATCCGTTTTCGCTATGCTGCAGCAGAAAACATCGTCTTTTTACACTTAGCGTTTTATTTATTTATTTATTTATATACACATAAATTTTTTTTAATGAAATTTCGACGACGAACGCATATTGGTAACAATGTTACCGTCGGAACGCAACTTTTGCTACGTTCCGTCACCTTGAACGAGGATAACGGAATAATTTAATCGTAAACTCTAATCTGCTACGAGCGGATCGGTACTTACTTTTGGATTTGGCGGGCGGACATTTAGCGAACACCGGGATTTTTGGCATCCATCCGTCGGATGGAGAGGTGTCCTCGTTGTCGATTTGATCACTAGTGTTGTTCGCTTGCCTGATCAGCGATCCTCTGGACGACACCGAATCGGTGCCCACGTCACCACCGCCGTCCACGGTCATCCACTTCGGCGTGTACTGAGGTTTCTCGACCGAAGACAACTGCGCGGCTCCGAACATTTGTTTGGGTCCTGCATTGGTTTTCATTTCCATCGCCAGTATAACGGGAAGCGGTATCAGCGGCTGCTGTTCCAGTTCGCCTTGTCCCGGTTCCTCTCGCTGTTCTCCGTACCGTTCACCACGATCTTCTTCCTGTCGGTCGCCGTGTTGCTGCTGCTGTTCTTCCGGCTGCTGCTGCTGCTGCAAATAACCCGGTTCCGAATCCAACATCTCGCGCACACCCACCGGTATGAAGTTGGAATCTGCGCCGGTGCTAGGCACCTGTTGTCCGGCGGCTGCGACCGCGACAGTGGACGCCAAGATGGCTATGGAACCCGTCTCCGCGGCCAAATGCCGCACCGCAGTAGCCTGCACGTAGTGCACCGAACCTTCGTCTGCGTCCTTTTCGGCTGTCGGCGGCGGTTTTTGCGGTTGTGGCTTCGGGTCGGCCGTGGTGCCCAGGATCGCTATGGACCCAGTATCCGCGGCCAGCGTCCTCACCGCGGTCGCCTCCACGTAGCGCACCTCCAGCTGGGGCTGCGATTTGGAACAGGCGACTGGTGTGGATGTGGCCGATGGTGACCAAGTACGCTGTCTCTCGGCTAGCGGCTGGTGGCCGGCCGGCGACCCATCTACCGATTTGCACTTGGCCGTCGTGCCTAGTATGGCTACCGAGCCCGTGTTAGCCGCCAGTGTTCGCACGGCCGTGGCCTCCACGTAGTGCAGCGAATGGTTGTCACCACCGTCTTCTAAAGCGTGTCTCTCAAAATCATCGCATCTGCTGTTCACCTCGGCTGCATCATCGTCATCGTTTGCGGATTTCGATTTCTTCGGTTGCTTCGTCACCACGACCGTCTCGAATGTGGGTGGCACGAATTCCTTCTCCGGAGACGGCGATCGTGACTTTGTCGCTGAAATATCAAAAAGAACTTGTTATGGTCTATGTAAGCAACAAACGGGCAGAGCAAACAAACATGAAAGATATTCGTTGAAATGGGGGGGGGGGGAAGAGATAATCGTTGACCGGTATGGTTTCGCGTTCTATCACGAGAAAATAGTATCGTGTTAAACCATCATATCAGATGCCAATCGCCGCTCGGTTCGAGAAATTATAATTTTTTTTTGTTAACGAAAAATCGATTATAATTTAGAAAAATGGAAATTAGTTACACTTTTTTCCGAGCTAAATCAGTGTTCACCATACTGAAAGGATGCGACCCCTGAAGAGGTGTAAAAACATTTCTGGTGGGTAGATGCAAGCAGTGATCACGAAATGTATAAATATTTAATATATTATTAATAAAGATAAGAGATGAATAAATAGATCACCGAATATTTTAGTATACGAGGATAGCCGTTCGGTTTTTAAAGTTTTAAAAATATTGAGAACCACTAATTTATGTATTATATTTTTATACAATGAGTAACTTAGTATTACTAAGTACGTGGATACGTAGTACTCTATCGAAAAATTTAGAAAATCATATTTCCTGACAATCACTAATGTTGATTTATTTTTGTTTTTAAATGAATTATTATTAATTACCAACTCATAAATATATACTGAATTCAATAGTGTAAGACTAGTGTTTAGAACCAGTAACAACTGCGGTGCTAAAAGATGTATTACCGTAGTGCTATTTTTTTTTAATTTCCCCTCCAGCTTTTGCTGAAATACGGCTACCGATAAAATTGAAAATAGTTTTTCTATAACGTACTTCCCGTGAAAAGTTATCGATTCGCAAAACATAGCGTAAAATATTTTGTTTACTACTATAGTATATGGTAAACTACATAAGGAAGCGTAAGAGGGTAAAAATCAAACAGTGAAATCCATGCGCTGAGTACGAAAAAAAAGTAAACAAAAAAGTAAATACGACCGTCGCAGCATTGATCCCAAAAATGTTCTATTGTAGTTGTCAGCTGGTGCGTAACGGGTCGGCAGACAGCCACATATAGAATCATAACTTGGACTCGGAAGTTATTGTACAAAAAAGCATTAAAATTGATTGGATTATTGCAGTAAAATAAAATATAATATAAATAATAAATAATAAATATAAATACAAATAAATAATTAATAATAATTTAATATAGATATAAATATAAATAAATATAAATAATAAAGTATCCAAGATTGCATTAAAAAATTGCATCATTGCTATAAACATACCCAAAGTTACACTTAAAAATTGCAATAAACTTTTTTATTTAACAAAATAACTATTAAAGAAATTAATGTTTACAAGTATTTTTTTATTAAGACTATTATAATACAAATATGTGTTCTTTTGTTGTTTTTCTTTTACAAATTAAAAAATTATATTAATAATGGAGTAGTGGTTTTAGTCAAGTCTTCCAAGAGCCTACAAACTATATTATTAATATTTAAAAACGTTTTATTTGAAAAATTTTTATTTTATTTTTAATACGCATTTGTGTGCCGAATTCAAAAATGACTTTGATATACGATAAATGATTTCTTTAAGTTATCAAATTTGAAAATTCTTCGGTTTGAGGACAGCAAGTTTTGCAACTCGTGCACCATCTTATAAAATAATATTTCCAAAACTGTCGTCACAATCGACAAAGCCTGAAATAACAATAAATTATTATTTATTATTATTATATTATTCTGATATACGAGTACATTGATAACTGGCATCGACTCCATCGTTATTTTATTTGTTATGTTAAAAAAAAATCAAATCATGTTCACAATATTTAAAAGTATATGAAATGTTATTATAAATGTGGAAAATCAATAAAATTGCAATCAAATCGAAAAAATGCTAGAAATTGCATAAAGCTGTTCTGAGAATTTTTTAAATATTAATTCGTACTTGCACGAAACTAATTTATAACCTACTTAGCATAAAAACCAATCAATAGGAAAAAAGTTGCAACAACTTCCGAAACCTAATCATAACCATTGTGTGTATAGCGTTACGCATTTAAATGCTACGATACGGTTAAACACGAAATGTATTCGTCTGACGATCGCGTGCCCCCGATATCGGAACGAGGTATTGTTCAAACGTTTCAACTGTAATATAATATAATATATGCATGTACACACCGTTTATTACGTTTGCTGCGCAACACCACTGTTGAAACCAATTACTCGTAGCAAAACGAACCGCGGTCGCAAAATGTTTGATATTATCAGTAATAATAGTAGTATTGCTCTTGATGATACGCGACAACCGAAACAGTATGTGCGCTAAATCTCGGCCAGTTGTTCGGAGCATGTTTTTTTTGTTTTTATTTCATTGAACACCGCAGCCGGATGAGACTGTACACGATAATTACTCCGCGGGACGTATTCTATTCTGTAATTCTTACGTGACAACCACGGTAAATGCATGTCAAGGGGATGTGCTAATTTTAATAATGCAAAAGTTTATCTCAAACTTTTATACAGTAAAACTTTAAGAGGACTCGCTCCATGTTCGTGAACGTATTGGACGTCTGACATTGTTTTATGTAGATAGATACTTAAAACATGTGCCGCAGCAGTACGTTTATGGTGATAAACTAAATCGTTTTCGCCGTTTTTCCCGCTTACAGACGTCTTAAAAATCCGTCTATTTAACTTACTAAAACGTTTCGATAAGATCGTAGTACTAAACAGTAGGATGATGTAGGACAATGTTAATGAGTGTTTCACAAAACATTGACATTTTTATTTTCATTTAAAACAATACATTTTTGACACTATATCGTCAAAGTTAAGATATTTGATGTTACAAAATAAATATGTTTCGGAAGATATTTAAAAATACTGTTTGAATAAATTATGTAAGCATAAATGTAATTTTACAAAATTAAATGTTATTCAATCAGACCACCGAGATTCAATTATTTTAAGCAATTTCCATTCAACTGGTTAAATTGCTTCGATTTCAAAACAATGTTTGTCAATTATTTTTCTGGACTTGAAATATAATATGAGAAGCATTCCACTGAAGGAACTAAAGAAATCCATCTCAAAGACATAAGTACTTTATCAAAAATGATAATTTATCAACTTGCGATGAAAATGTACTTCAGTTGAAAATTATATTTGATATTTTAAATTCTTATTAATTATATAATGCTACTTTTTATGTCTTTATTGATTTTAAATATTGATATCAAACAACTCTCGCTGTATACCATTATAGTCATAAATAATAAATACAAAGTACAATAATTTAATTTGCCGCTATTATCAAAAAAAAAAAAATGTTACACCTAAACAATTACCTATTATTATTATATCATAAATATATATATTAGTATAGGATAATATTAATACAATATTTTAAAACATAATCACTCCTATATAGTATCTGTATAAAAACACAGCCCTGATTATTATAATAACTTAACTATAAAAAACAACAACATTAGTTCGTTTATGAATAAAGTATTAAATTGTCCATCTATCAGTCGAATTTAAACGGATATAAACATTAAATATAAAAAATGTAATTTACTTATTGAGTAACATTCATTTTTTCTGTTTTTGTAATAAGTTTTAGTTTTTACTTATTACACAGCAAATGTTTATTTATGATTAGCTTGATGTATTATAATACCACAGGGTATATAAAAATTATGTCTAATAAATAATTATATGAGTTATATTTATATATACCATTTTATCGTATACGTTATTGAAAAATATGAAAAAACAACATCATAAAAAATAAAAGGTTATGCTATTATTTCAAATAACCAAACATTTTTCTTTATTATAGATAATGTAATACTAACAATAATGATTACTAATAATTCCCATTACAAAAAAAAAAAAAAAAATTGTTAGACTTTAAGATAGTTGTATAAATTATACTTAATTGTAGTTATTTAAACCTCATATTGTTAAGTTTGATAAAAAATAATATAATTTGGAATAGAAGTCTTATATATATTTTTTACTTTACAGTTAAGTTTCAGAATTTAAGATGGTGTATTTCATACTTGCTTTTACAATGAACCCTGACGCATACTCCAAAAATGGAAATATTAAGCAGTTCTAGACAAATGATGGAAGCTAACACATTAAGTTTAATTAGCTATTCAGCTTCACTAAAAGTAAATTCAAAATTATAGTGAAAGTATTATTTATACTTAATCCCATGTAAATAATTAGAATTATGATGAGGATCTCAGAGAAAACAAATTAATAAATAATTTAAAATACGCCCAGATTCACCAAAAATATAATTAAACAAATTATGATAAATTAACTAAAGTTAATTATATTTATTATGTTCTTATAGTATATACATGATGTTCCTAATTTACTGAATCAACTTTATATTAATAAAATTAAGTTTTTAACAGGCATTTTAAGCATATATTTTATAAATACAATTGTTTTTGACACAATTTATATCATATCATGTTCAAAAACTCACCGGTTTCACGTGGTTTTTCGTTTGGTACTTGGTTTTGAAAATCCTGGATAAATGTATTGTAAAGCTTCGGTTATAAAATGTAATGAGTTATAAAATTAATTTTGAGTGTCATGGTTTAAAACATAAAAGTTTTAAAAAATAATTTTTAAAGTTTTAAGATTTTTATTAAGATTCGCTTGGTTTGTTGTTAAGGATATTTTATATTTTTAAAAGCTCTCAGTTCTTAGGCTTTAGCTCAGTATATAAGTTTTTGTAATTTAACAATAACAATTTACAAAACCATAATATATAGATATGACCTGTAAATATATTATTTATATATCTGTTTTTTTTTTTTTGTAACGATAACCATTAATCAGTATTCTTCATTCTCCTACTGAATAATTCATAAGAATTCCTATACCGCAATACGATTATCCATTAAAATATCAAATGTTAAAAAATCGAGAATATATTAAGCGATCAATGTTTATCGCTTGTCCGCGCAATAATGTAGCAATGCC